TTTACTTTAGGTAAACCGACTTATGTGACATGCCACCTGCAAAATAACTTGACCGACCAGTTAAGTTGAAAAGACTTAGTTCATAAATTTAGGATAGGTGCTATAACAAAACCCACACTGAGTACTGTATTTACATCTCAGCGGATAGAAGGGACTGAGAGCATGAAGCCCACACTGAGTACCGTAGTTACGCACCAATGGGTAGAAGGGACTGAGACTACGAAGCCCACATTAAGTGCAATGGCTATACCCCAATTGGTAGAAGGGACTGAGAGTCCCCTTAGTCAGTGTGTTACCGAATGGCCTTGGTCCCAGGCTTTTGTTCACTTAGCAGGAATGGGAAAAACAAAAATCCTGGCAGCTTCAAGGGGTACTGGGAGAAGAAATTAGCTGAATGATTTGCAGAACTACTTATAGCAAAGCAATCTCAATCAGTGTTTTGACAGATCAGACAAATAAGTGTGAACAAGTTTGTATGCACCCAGTGTACAAGACTGTTGGCACAATTTTACATTAACACAAACCACAGTAGTTTGTCTCTGGTCTAAAAATACTAAAGGCCTTTCTCTTAAGTTTATAATAAATGTTATGACCCAACCTTCTACTACCACCACTCCCTCCCAACCACCAATTATGCTTAGTCTGAGAATTTTTGAAATTGGACCATATATAATCAGAAAAACTGGACAACAACAAATATTCAATCCAGCATGGTCTCTTAAACAAGTCAAATTGCTGATGCAAAACAATGTCTCAGAAATTCAGCCGGTCTGTTTGCCTTTATTGCAGACTTCCTTTGAGGGTTGGATGATCTGGCTGTGAAAAGGGAGCTCTTTTAAAAAATGGATGCTAAGAGACATAACTGGTGTTGCAGGAACAGGTTTGGGAACTCTAAATAGCATTGATTCAGAAGTATTAATGAATAAATTGGCTGCCACAAATAGGGATTTGACTAAATTATAACAACCACTGCTGCATTTCCAAAGCCAATAAGGATGACTGCACTGGTTGTTATCAAACATATTACGAAATTGGGAGAAGGTAAATGTAAACGATCACAAATTGGTAATTTATGCGCTCAGTGCTACACACAACAACCTTTCTTTGGTTCTCAGCTGTATCCAGGCACAACTGTGGATGCAGTCATTTGCTGCCTCAATGATAAGAGAAGGTGAAGAAGGAATTTTCCTACTAAAATTCAGAAAATAATTTGGGACAGCACCATTGATATTGAAAGAGAATTCCAGTCCTGGTGGAACTTGGTGAATTTTACTTATGACCCCACTATAAACACAGCCATAGCTCTTGTGTTAACTATATGCAATGCCTCAGTGCATTTGAGATTTCCTACAAATGCATTAGGGCTGAATCATGATGGAGCTATTTTCTATCCTTCTGAACATAGATAATGGGCCTTTCAAATTGGTAAAAAATGGCAAACTGGTAATTTGGAACCTTGTATTGTCCAAGAACAACACGCGTTCATCTGTGAAAGCAATGCAATTATAGCTCAAGACATTTGTTTGGACACAGAGCAAAATGTCATTTTTAAATTCATCCTAACAAGACTTCTGAAACAGTCCTTAAACACATAGGCAATGGGTGTGCATGCTTTAGAACTGCTTGTGATATTGTATTTATAGAAAATGTAGTAGTGGATACTAAAAATAATTCCAATTTTTGTGCTTGTAACTTTACCAAAACTGCAAGATGTGATTCTTCTTATGAAGCTCCAGTTACCTCTCATTACCTTTTACAATCCAATTAAACACCAATTCCCAAATTATTACCTACTCCCATTGGGATGAACATTACTTTGGTAAAGCAATTGTTGCTTCACCAGGACTTAATAAAAATATTAGAGAAGATCAAGAAGAATGCACAGAAAGCCCTGGTAACTGTTCATCACAAAGTGAAAGAAATACACCGTGCCATAGAGAGAGTAAGAAAAGAGGCCGAACACAGGTGGTGAGACACTCTTTTCACATGGTCACCTACTGCCACAAGTGTTCTGAACAATATGTATCATCCCATCATTATGCTTTAGATTCTAGTTCTGATTGGTTTTATTTTATCAGCAATCTTATTCATTATGAATTGGAGAATGATGAAATGGTTAACAAAATTGAAGATTATAATTAATGCACACAACTTGGCTGATGTCCTCTACACTGTGGACATCCCCAAGACTGTTCACACAAGGTGATTATAAATTAGAGTATGTGTTTTGAAATAATCCTCAATTTTCTTTTGTGATTTTGTGAAAATTACTTTTGATTTTTGGTGATTTGTTTTGAAAAATTATTTTAAATTAATACTTACTGTATTTGTTTATTGCTTTAATGCCTTTGATTATTTGTGATTTGTTTGGATCGTTTGAAGAAATTGAAAATAATATTGTTTTAATTAATATTAATTATATTTGTTCATTGTTTTCCTTTTCCCCTTTTTCTATCTTTTCTTTTCCTTCTTTTCTCTCTCTCTCTACATTCTGTCTCGGTTTTCTGGGATATGCTACCAATGCTCAACAAGCCCTGTAGACTTTGCAACTATGCTATGGAACCCTGCTGATGAAGACCTATGGAGGACTGTCGTGAGTCACCGGCTGGTATGAGAGATGATCTCAAGTTCCCCTCATTTACCTCACGACCATCCATCCCCAGGACAGACATCAGGACCCTGAGGATCCTGATCGGAATTCTGGCCTGCTTGACGTGGATGAACACCAAAAATCCTGAGGCCCCTGAGCAGAATTCTGGCCTGACAAGTGATTGTTCACAGCTGTGTCTACAGTGACTGCTTCTAGCAGGGCCTGCCAAGGGGCAACACGCCCTATATGACTGCACCTGCTTCGCGATAACAGGCCAGGAATTTTCCCACATCTTGGACAGATGAACTTGCTGGGGCAACTTTGGTAGAACCACCATGGAAAATCCTTCATCTGCTCCACTACCACCATGAGGGACAGAGATTGAAGCCCCCCTGCCAAGGACTGAGACCCCCGTAATTCTGATGCAGGGGTGCTGGCCTGACTGAAGCAGGATGCCTGCTAAGTGTTGCCTGAAGATGTGTTCACTGGACATAGATTGGTTTCCCATAGAAAGCAGTCCTGAAACAGTGGGTCCCACTCACTGCTGATACTGACTTATCCTGCTGAGAACGTGACTGTCTGTACCTGTCTTCAATACCTTTTTCCCCCCCTCAGTGACTTCAATAGACTTCTTGATTGTATCTCTTCCCCCTCAGCCATTTCAAGATCTGTTTCCCCCCTCAGCAATGGACTATAATAGAACCTTGAGTTAACCGGGACTTTGAGATGTTGCCAACATGACTAGGCAAACTCCGTTGGCTGGACTACGAGGACTCTGTCTCTCCACATTTGGTAGATATACTCCCTCTCTCTTTCTCTCCCTCTTTTCTATTCTTTTCCTCTCCCTAATTCCTTCCACGCATTTGCTGTGGTCATTCTATAAAGGTGCATTTGTTTTGATTGATACTGCAATCCCCTTTCCATGTTGTGTTTTGCACTCCGAGATCAGTTAACACAATGATCTGGAACTGGGGAGGGGTCTAGGAGTGGGGAAGGCATCCATAAGAGGGACAGGGTCTAGGAATGGGGAGGGGTCCGGGATTGTGGGGATGGGTCCATTCCGGGATTGGGACGAGGTCTCTCCCCGGGGTCGGGGACCATTATTGGGTTGAGGTGTCTCCCCTTCCTGATCCCGCCGCTGTTTCCAGGGAATGGCTCCGATCTCAACCCTGACCACAAACCTGAGGGGGTCAATTACCCCAAATCCTGTGGTCAAATATGCCAAATCCTGGGGTCAAGCCCGTGAGCCCAGATCCTGGGGGTTCCAACACTGGGGAGGGAGGTCAAACATCCCTAAACCCAAATTCTGGGATGTCAACCTCCCCCCTCCACCCTGAAACCTAAATTTTAGAATCAAACCCCCAAATCCCAGGGTGTCAAACACTCCCCAATTCCCAAATGTTTGGGTTGAATCCCCATAGCCCCAAATCCTGGGGTTTAAAACATCTGGAGTATCCACCATCTCCAATTCCCAAAGTTTGGGGTCAAATATCTCCAAACCCTAAGGTCCCAAACACCCTCAATCTCCAAAATTTGGGCTTAAAACCCCCAATCCCCAACTCCTGGGGTTTGAAATATGTGGGGTATCCAACCCTCCTCATCCCCAAAATCTGGGGTCCAATCCCCTAATCCCCAAATCCTGGGGTCAAAGCCCCCCAAAATCCCAAATCCTGGTCAAATACCCCCAAACCCCGAACCCTGGGGTGTCAAACACCCCAACCCCCAAATTTCAGGATCAAATCCCCCCAGTCCCCGAAGTCCCGGGGGTCACCCCCCCCATCATCCCCCCAAAACCACTCCAGCCCTGGGGGGCACAGTGGGGTTTATTTTGGAAGGCTCCAGGTGCAATGTCTGCAGAGAGACTCTGGGTACAATGCTGGGAAAGACCCCAAAACCCCCTTGGGAATCCCAGAAACGTGTGGGGGAGTGGGAAAAGGGGATTTGGGCTTATCTGGGGTGGGGGCAGCTCCAGGTGCAATGTCTGCAGAGAGACCCTGGGTACAATGCTGGGAAAAACCCCAAAAACTCCTTGGGAACCCCAAAAGCCCCTGAGGGGTGGAGAAAGTGAATTTGGGGTGGGGATCCAGGGTGGAAGAAGGGCATTAGGGGTGAAAGAAGAAGGATTTGGGGTGAGAAGATGTAGGGAGGAAAGAAGAGTATTTAAGATGGATAAAGGAGATTTTGGGGTGAGAGGAGGATTTGGGATGCACAAAAAAGGATTTGGGATGGAAAAAAGGAGATTTGGGTGGGAAAAGGAAATATTGGGATGGAAAAGGATTTTGGGATGGAAAAAGGGGATTTGGGGTGGGAAAAGAAGGATTTAAGATGAAAAAAGGAGATTTTGGGGTAAAAAAGGAATTTTGGGTGGGGGAAGGGGGATTTAGGGTGGGGAGGAGAAAAGGGGGATTGAGGTGGGAATTGAGGCATTTAGGATGGGGAAAGATTTTTGGTGGAAAAAGAGGATTTAGGGTGGGCTGGGAAGCACTTGGGGTGGGAAAAGAGCATTTGAAGTTAAAAAAGGAGATTTTGTGTGGGAAAAGGGGATTTCAGGTGGGCAGAGAAGGATTTGGGGTGGAAAAGGGTTATCTGGGGTAGATAAAGGAGATTTGGGATGCACAACTGATTTGAGGTAAAAAAAACCAGGATTTGAGGTGGGGAATTGAGGTGGAAAACGGAGATTTTGGGATGGGTAAAGGGATTTGGGGACCCACAAAGGATTTGGGCTGGAAAAAAAAATAATTTGAGGTGGGAAAAAGGAGGATTTGGGTTAAAAAAATGAAGATTTGGGCCAAGCTGAACTTACCTGGGGGAGTGGGGGTGTGTGTGGGGTTTGAAGCAGGGCCAGAACTTTTTCTGGGGCAGTTTTCTGGGATTTTGGAGTATTTTTCTGGGATTTGGGAGCAGTTTTATGGGATTTAGGGTGTCCTGGGGTGGTTTTGAGAGATTTTAGGGTGTTTCTATGGGATTTTGGGGTGGCTTGGAAGGATTTTAAGGTGTTTCTATGGGATTTTGGGGTGTTTTGGGGTAGGTTTTGGGTATTTAGGGGAGGTTTTGAGGCGCTTTTTTGGATCTTGGGGTATTTCAGGCCCTTTTTGGGGGGGGGTTAGGGGTATTTTGGTGGGGTTTGGGGTGTTTTGGATCACTTTTTGGCAAAAGAGATCTTCATGGCGTTGCTCTGGGTGATCTTGAAGCCCTGCAGGGCCTCACGGGCAGCGCCCGCCTGCACCTCTGTGTCGAACTCCACGAAGGCGATGTCGTGGCGCCCGGGCACCAGGCGCACCTCCTTGAACCCTGGGAACCTGCGATGGGGAGTGGGGTCAGGAGAGCCTGAAAAAACCTGTGACCGTTCTCCCAGAAAGCTGGGACCGTTCCCCAAAAAATCTGACAATGTTCCCCAAAAATATTCCAGAAATGGTTCCCCAAAAATTCAGAAATGTTCCCCAACAAAATCCAGAAATGGAGAAGAACAAAATCCAAAAATCCAGAAGCATCCCCCCCAAAAACCCCTGAAACAGCGTCTCTTAGAAATCCAGCACCATTCCCAAATATCCAGCCATGTTCCCCAAAAAATCCAGAAACTTCTCTCAAAAACTCAGAAATATTCCCCAAAAAACCTGAGAACCTAAAAATTTCCCCCCAAAATCCAGAAGCATTTCCCTCAAAAAATTTGGAAACATTTCCAAGAAGATCTGGCTAAACCCCCCCCAAAATCCAGAAACACTGCAAAAAAAGTTCCAGAAATCCAACTCCCCATAAAAGTCCACAAATGTTCCCCTAATATCCAGAATTTCCCCCCAAATTCCAGACTTTTCCCCCTCAAAAGATCCAGAAATCCAACTGCACCAAATATCCAGAAACGTCCCCAAAAATATCCTGCAATGCTCCCCAAAACCCCAGAAATCCAACTCCACAAACATTCCCTAACGTCTGGAAACATCTCCCTCCAAAAATTCCAGAAACATTCCCCCAAAAATCCAACGCAGCCCCCACATGACTCCTCTCAAAATACCCATAAAAATCTCAAATTCCAGGAATGCCACCAAATGCCCCCAAGGGAGCTCCCGGATTCCCAGTGCCTGGGAATTTGGGATGGGGGGTTGGGGTCAGGAGGAGCTGAGAATTTGGTGAAATCCCTGAGAAATCCAAAGGGGAGAGCCCGAGTTTGGGAAAACTCTCAGTATTGGGAAATTACCCCCAAAATCTGACTGAAATGCTCTCAAAATGGCTTGCGAATCTCAGAATGTCCGTCAAAATCCCAAAATATCCCCAAGAACCCCAAAAGTCCTGCAGGATTTCCCCAAAATTCCAGAGAAATGCTCTGAAAATCTTTCAATGTTCAACTCCCCAAAAATCCAACAAACCCAAAGATTCCAAAACATTTCCAAAAATCCAACATTCCATCAATCAAAAATCCAACTCTAAATCCCACTTAAACATTCTCAAAATCCCCAAAACTCCAAAAACCCAACACTCCCCAAAATCCAGAAATACCCCACAAGATCCCAAAAAATTCCACCACGTCCAGAAAAATACCTCCAAGATCTCACAAAAACCCTCCCAAATTGTTCAAAACCTCCAAAATCCAACCTCCCTAAAAGTCCAGAAACATTCCCCCCCACCAAAGCCTCCTTGAAAAAATCCAGAAAGATTGCCAAAAATCCAGAGGTGTTCCCCAAAAAAATCCAGGAGTGTCCCCCAAAACATCTAGAAACATTTCCCCCAAAAATTGAGAAATGCTCCTCAAAAAGTCCAGAAACATCCCCCCAAAAACCCCAATAAACTCTAAAATTGAGGATCTTTTCCACAAAAAATCCATAACTGTCCCCGCAAAAAGCCAGAAGCTTTCCCTGCAGAAAATCCTGAAATACTCCCCAAAAATCAACTTCCTCCCAAAATCCACAAATGTTCCCCCAAAAATCTGGAAACATTCCTCAGAATCTAGAAACTTTCTTAAGAAAAAACAGAAATGTTCCCCCCAAAACTGATAAACCTGTCCCCCCAGCCCAGAAAGTTTCTCCAAAAAAAAATCCTGAAGCATTCCCAAAAATCGTGAAACTTCCCCCAAAAACTCCAGAGCCGTTCCCAAATAAACCCAAAAATCCAACTCCCCTAAAAAAACAAAAAACATTCCTCAAAAAAGTCTGGAAACATTCCTCCAAAAACCCAGAAATTCCTACTCAAAAAATCCAGAACTTCCCCCCCTCCCCCAAATCATGATATTTGCCAAAAAAAAAAAAAAAAAAATCCAGCCCAAAGGCCACCTCACCTCTCTCCACCCTCTCCAAGCCCCAGAAAACCCCAATTCCCCAATCCCTGCCCAGAATTCCCGGAATTGCCCGAGGTCTCACTGGTTGAAGAGCATGGAGAGCATCAGCTCGTTGGTCTCCTCAGGGAGGTTGGTCAGGAACAGGATGTGGTTCGGGGGGTTTTCCGACAGCTGTGGGGAATGAGAGAAAAACCCCAAAATCAGCACCAAATCTGCCCCAAATCAGGCCCAAAATCTACCCAAAGTCACACTGTGTACACACTAAAAAAAACCTGCCCAAAAATCCACCAAAATCCTGGAAAAACCCCCATAAAAATCTGTGCAATATTCCACCAAAACTCCCCAAAAATCTCTCTAAATAATCCCCCCAAAAATCTCTCCAAATCTGACCAAAATTCCACCAAAATTCCACCCAAAAGACCACATAATTTATGCCAAAAATCCTTACAAAAAATGCACCAAAGCCCACAGAAATCCCTCAAAAATCCCACAAAAATCACGCCAAAAATCCCCCTAAATCTCACGGTAAAAATCTTCAAAAAGTACCACTAAATCCCCATGAAAATCTCACAGAATCCATGCAGAAAAATCTGCACAAAAATCCCACCCAAAATCCCCAAATTAAACAAAATCCACCCAAAAAATCCCTCAAAATCCAAAATATTCCCTTAAAATATTGCACAAAAATTGTCCAAAAGCCACAAAATCCACTGCAAATCCATTTAAAAAATCCGCATCAAAATCCCACCAAAACCCGCACAAATCCACCAAAAAATGCCCCCAAATTCCCTCAATCCTACCAAAAATCTCAGGAAATCCACCCAAAAAATCCCCACCAAAAATTCCCTCAAAATCCCAGCAAATTCCATCCCAAAAATCCCACAAGTCCTCTAAATTACTCAGGTTCTGGGGTCACTCACGGGCTGTGGGGTAGGGATTGGCGCCATTCCAGGCTGTGGGGCCATTCCCGGGGGAATTCCGGGATTTGGGGCCATTCCTGGGGCTGGAATCATGCCCGGGGGGGGGATGTAGGGTGGTTGTCCCCCCAGGTGCGGCAGCATCCGGGGCGGCTGCGCCAGTGGCGGCATCCCCTGAGGAGAGACCCCAACACACCCCAAATCATCCCAAAGGCACAGACAGAATCCCAAAGTTATGCCAAAAGTACAGTGAGAATCTCAAATCAATGTAGAATTATGCCAAACCCACACGGAATTATCCCTGAATTACCCTACAGACACGCGGGCCCCAAAAACCCCCAATTTTCCCAAAACTATGAAAAATTACGCCAAATTATCCCAAACTTACCCTGAAAAACCCCAAAATTATCCCAAAATTACACCAAACAGCTTTAAAATTACCCCAAATAACCCCAAAATTACCCTAAATAACCCCAAAGGCACACAAAGAACCCAAATAACTAAATTCCCCCCCAAAACCCATCCAAATCCCCCAATGCCCTCCCAGAATGCCCAGGAACAATCCCAAATCCCCTGGAATGATGCCAGAATCCCCCAGAATGATCCCAAATTACCCAAAATCCCCCAGAATCATCCCCCAAACCCCCTGGAATGATTCCAAAATCCCCTGGAACCATCCCAAAACCCTATTAAACAATCCCAAATCTCCTAAGAACAATCCCCAAAATCCCATAAAATGATCCCAAATTCCCATCAACTGATTCCAAATCCCCCAGGAATGATCCCCAATCCCCACCCAAACATCTCCAAATCCCCCAGGACTGACCCCAAAATCCCCTAAACCGATCCCAAATTCCTGGCACTCACAGGCACCGTCCCTTGTGCCCCAATCCCAAATCCCATAAATCCACCCCAAAATCCAATGGAATGATCCTAAATCCCCCAGAACCACCCCCAAAATGATCCCAAAGTCTCATTAAACAATCCCAAACCCCCTGTAGTGATCCCAAATGCCCTGGGAACAATCCCAAATCACACAAAACAATCCCAAAATCCCCTAAAGCCATCCCAAATCTCCCTGGCACTCACAAGCACTGCCTTCTGTGCCTCGTTCTCAATCCCAAATCCTATAAATGACCCCAAATCCCATAAATGATCCTGTAAATCTCCTAGCACCCACTGGCACCACGCCCTGCGCCCAGATTCCGATCTCAAAATTCCATAGATGACCCCAAATCCCATGAATGACCCCAAAGCCCATAAAATAATCCCATAAATACCCTGGGACTCATGGGCACTGACCCTTGTGCAACAATCACAAAATCCACAAATTACCCCAAAATCCCATAAAAGATCCTATTAATCTCCTGGCACCCACTGGCACAACCCTCTGTGCCCTGATTCTGATCTCAAAATCCCACAAATGAGCCCAATCCCATAAATGATCCCAAATCCCACAAAACAATCCCATAAATGCCATGAATGACCCCAGTGTCACGAATAACCCCAAATCCCACAAACGACCCCAATCCCACAAATAATCCCAAATCCCACAAATGAGCCCAATCCCACAAACGACCCCAAATCCCACAAATGAGCCCAATCCCACGAATAACCCCAGTCCAATCAAACAATCCCCTGGCACTCACGGGCACTGCCCCCTGCGTTGCCCCCTGCGCTCCGGCCCCGCTCTTTTTGGGGCCAGGGGCCTCTCCCCCCTTGGCTTTGCGCTTGTCCCGTTTGCGCTCCCGGTCCCGATCCCGCTCCCGCTCCACGAACGTTCCCTTCATCTTGGCGATGATGTCCGAGTCTGTCTTGGCGTACTGGATCCGCTGGGACAGCACATTCCCAGGATTGGGGCATTTGGGGGATTTCAGAGCATTCGGGGCATCTCTGGGAGGGATTTTGGGGTTTTCCCAGGGGTGCTCAGATTTGGGGCTTTCCAAGGGATTTTTGGAGGTTCCAAGGAGGATTTGGGGTTGTTCCATGGGATTTTGGGGTGGTTCCAGAAGATTTGGGATCAGTCCAGGGGGTTTTGGGGGTGTTCCCGAGGATTTTGGAGGGATCTGGGGAGGAATTGGGGCTTTCTGAGGGATTTGAGACTTTCTCAAGTATTTGGGGGAGTTCCAAGAAAGATTTTGGGTTTTTCAAGGAACTCTGGGAAGTTCTAGAAAGAGTTTTGCAAATTTCAGAGGAATTTGGGGGAATTTAGAGGGGATTTGGGTGAGTTCCAAGAGGGATTTTGGGGTTTTCCATGGGATTTTCAGGAATTCTGCGGGATTCGGGGAGGTTCCAGACAGGATATGGGGGAGTTCCAAGAGCAACCAGGGACATTTTTGAGTAATTTTGGGAAGTTCAAGAAGGAATTTTGGGAGAATTCAGAGGAATTTGGGAGGTGCGTACAGGCATTTTGGGATCGCCAAGGGGGATTTTGGGGTTTTCTGAGGGATTTTCAAGGGTCCTGAGGGATTTGGGAGAGATTCAAGGAGGGATTCAGGGAGTTTCTGAGGGATTTTGGGGGGTTCTGAGGGGTTTTAGGGAATTTCAAGAGGGAATTTGGAAGAATTTGAGGAGGTTTCGGGGGGGGCTTGGGGTTTTCCAAGGGATTTTCAGGGGTTGTGAGGGATTTGGGAAGGTTCCAGAAAGTATTTTAGGATTTCCAGATGGCGTTTCCTTGGAGCTTGGGGGAGCTCCAAGAGGAATCTGGGAGTATTTCAGGAGTCCTAGCAGGGATCTAGGAATTTCTGAGGGATTTTGAGGGAATTCAGTAAGATTTAGGAGGGATTTGGGAGTTTCTGAGAAATTCAGAGATTTTGGAGGAGCTCCAAGAGGGATTTGGGGGTTTCCAACAGATTTTTGGGGCTTCTAGGTTGAATTTGTGGTTTCACCACAGGTTTGCCATAGAAGCGAAAGCTTTGGGAATTCCTGGCTAGATTTTGGGGGTTTCCAGGAATTTTGGGGTTTCTCCCAGGATTTGGTTCTCACTGGGTTTGGCCGTAGAAGAGGAAGCTTTGGGGCAGGTCCTGGCTTGATTTTGGTGCGTTCCTAGTGGGATTTGGTGTTTGGTTGTTTTTGGGTTTTTTTGGTGGGATTTTGGGGATATTTGAGGCTAGATTTAACTTTTCCCCCCCAAGAATTCACTTTTTTTTCCCCAAAATCTGCGGATTTTTCCCATAATTTGAGCATTTCCCCCCAGAATTTGTCTCTCACCAGAAACCTGCCATAAAATTGGAAGCTTTGGGGTGGTCTGGTTGAATTTTGGGGATATCTGATGCTGCATTTTGGGATTTTACCCCCCAGGAATTCAGAATTTTCCCCAGAATTCCAGGACGTTTTCCCAAAATGTCAACATTTTCCCTCAGGTTTGGGTATCACCATGCACTTGTCATAGAAGGGGAAGCCTTATGGTGGTCAGGGTGAATTCGGAGGATTACAGGTTGGATTTTGGGAATACTTGAGGCCAGATTCTGGCATTTTTTTCCCCCAGAATTCCAGTTTTTCCCTAGAATGTCAGATTCTTTTCATCAAGTTTCTGTCCCACTGTGGGCTTGTCATAGAAGGGAAAGCTTTGATTCCTAGTTTGATTTGAGAGTGTTCCCAGGGGATTTTTGGTAGATTTCCAGCAGGATTTTGGGTTTTTTTCCCAGAAATTTAGTTTTTTTCCCAAAGTACCAGGATTTTTTCCCAAAATTCCAGTGTTTTTCCACAGAATTTCTGTTTCACCATGGGTGTATCATAGAGGAGGAAGTTTTGGGGTGCTCATGGTGAATTCAGAAGGATTATAAGTCAGATTTTAGGGATATTTGTGGTCACATTTTGGTGTTTTTTCCCCAGAATTCCAGTTTTTTCCCAAAATGTCAGAATTTTCCCCCAATCTCTGTCTCACCATGGGTTTGTCGTAGAAGGGGAAGCCCTGCATGGAGCGCAGGGCGTTGGTGGCGCTGCTCATCTCCTTGAAGATGACAAAGGCCTGGCCCCGCATGCGGAGACTGCGAGACACCAAAATGTCCAAAATCTGCCCAAACTGCGAGAAAATGGCGTAGAGGGACTTCTTGAGCTCTGGGGACAGAGTGACAGCACGGTGACAATGGGGACAGCACACTGGCAATGGGGACATCACGGTGACAGTGGGGACACACAAGGGACAGCCCGAGCCCCTGGTGACACTCACAGACACTCTCAGACCCCCCCCAGGCCCCCCTCACCATCCTTCTTGATCTTCTCGTTCAGGTTGTTGATGTAGATGGTGTGGTTGGGCCGGGGGTCCTGCACTGCCATGGCCAGGACTCCTCTGTGGGGACAGGAGGGCTTTAGGGGGCATCTGGGATCCCTTCACCCCCTGGCACCCCCTTTAGGTGCCCCCAGACCCACCTAAACCCCCCCAAATTTCCCACAGACCCACCCAGTTCCCCCCAAAATTGACCCCAGACCCACCTGAGATATCCCGCAAATTACCCCCGGAGTCACCTCAGAACCCCCCAGATGCTCCGAATCCCCCTCAGACCCCTCTAAACCACCTGAGAACCCTTGAGACCCTCTCAAGCTCCTCCCCAGACTCCCTCATTCCCCCCAAACCGACCTCAGATCCCCCTATTTTCCCTTAACCACCCCTCCAAAATCGCCCATTTGTCCTCAAACTCACCTCAGACCCCCCTAACCAACCTCAGATCTCCCCATTCCTGCCCAGACTCACCTCAGAGCCCCCCCCTCCCCCTCCATTTCCCCCCAGTTCCACCTCAGACCCCACAAAAACTCCTCAAACCACCCAAAGCGCCCCCAAACAGCCTCGGACCACTCAATTCACCCACCTCAAACGCCCCCAACTCCTCTCAAATCCCCCTCAAACCGCCTCAATTCCCTTCACGTTCGCCCCAGATCCACCTCACACCCCACAAAAGCCCCTCAAACAACCCCAACTGCCCCCAAACGCATTCCCAACCCACCTCAAATACCCGTCTTTTCCCTGCAGTTTCCCCCCCGGACCAACCTGACATGCCACTAATTACCCCTCAGACCCCGCAAAAATCCCTCAGACCCGCCCAATTTCCCCCGAATCCGTCCCGCAGCAACCTCACACCTCCCACTTCCCCTCAGAGCCGCCTCAACCCCCACCTATTTCCCCCCAAGGTCATCTAAGACGACTCCATTCCCCTCATACCCCACCTCAGCTCCCTCCTCAGCCGTTCTCCCTTCACGACCGACTGCCACTGCCGCGACCGCGTCCGCCGCGTGCGC